TCTTATCCTTAATCCTAACTCTAAAGATGATGCTTATTACTTTAAAATCTTTCGCTTAATTCGATTGTTTAGATTTACGTTACACCTGATCTTTCGATCTAATTGGCCCAAAATCACGTGCCGGAAAAAATCGTGGTTGAGCTACTAATGTCGGTAAAAATCTAGAAATCACAAGACTAAGTCACAAGATTAGAACAACCAATCGGATAAAAAAGAGACACACCATTTCATCCGCTCCTGGTATAAAAATGTCTGTCTTTGTTACGTCACTTGATAATTCGTAATGTGACCATAGTGACCGATGAATATAGGTCATGTACATAATGACCAAGGTCATTTAAAATGATCTATTCATTTCCCAACACTCGTAAATTCACAAAATTTTGCAAGTTGCAATAAATTTTATTAAATTTTACTTAGAAATTAAGAATAAATCTTGTACATGATACGTAATTGTTTAAAGTAGTAACCTTATTTATAACTAAAAGAATAACTATATAGTCGACTCTTCTAAAACGAACCGAAAATTCTGGAAGAAGAAATGTGTGTTATAGAAAATTGCTATGCCTTAAGAACTCATCTTCATTTTTATACAGAACTATTATTAAATTTCAAAATTTCTTTATAGAAAGGGTTGTTAGATCTAGATGTTGACTATATATTACTATCCAAAAATCTTGGTTACTTTAAGAAAAATTGTCTAGGGAGCTGATACTGCATTCTTTGTAGACTCATTAATCCCCAACCACTGAGAGGTAAACAAGGAGGAAACCACCAAAGTACAATTGAAACGAGGACAAATACAGTTGTAAATGGTGCAATAAACCATTTTAAAAAAGCAAAATAAGCAAAACATCTCCAAGTATATTTATCATCTAGGATCAGCGGGAAAAATCTACATTTATTGCTAGAAAGTGCAATATACACTCTAGGAAGTTGTTCAGTTTTAACGTCGATATCATGACAAAGGCGAGTTGCAAGAAGCTCAATTCTGCCTAAAGACCTTATAAATATATGTAAACCGAATTATTATAATCTATTATGAAGTGTAATTAATTTTGGAAAATATCACATACCTCCAACTCAAAGCCCATAACCACCAAAAGAAATATCCTACAAGAGGAACAAATGTAGTTCCGATTGCTGCAAAAAATGTCGCCCATATCCAAACAAAAGCAAGCGAGGAAAATGGTAAATTAATAAAAAGATAGTACAGCACACATTTAGGCGGCGGGTGTTTAGCAGTTTCAACCATTAAAGATAAATATTTGCAATCGATATCAAACGAATCAACATCATGAGCTTGGCTTTCTAATTCCTTAGGGTCATAGATCGTTTGAGATGTAGTTGCAGTTTCTGGCTTCTGATTCATTTTGCTGTGCTTTAATAGCTGAGAATTGAATTTTTGGGCTAAAATTTTCGACACCGCAAGTTATAGTTTATCTTTATTAAAGGCCATAATGAGCTATCAAATTTAGATTTGCTTTGTTTCACAGGCTCACTAATCACAAGTAAAATATTCTAGTGTCACCAACCTAAAAAATTTCGCTGGCCAATCAGATTTCATGATCAAGTGATGCAGAAAAAAAACACAAAAATCAAATTCCAAAAATCGGTAATTCCTCATTCAACTTGTTATCTATGAAGCCACCTTCGCACTAACAAAAGTTTTCCTTGCAAAATCTTGCTATTACTAGAACTCCCCCTAATCTAATTTGATAGCAAAACTTAACCCTAATTTAAAATCGACACATCTTCTATAGGTAAACGATTGGTTCGCATGGAATTGACTATGTCGAACCAATCGTTCCATCATATTAAGTGTGTTACTATTTGACATACAAATATTTCAGAATCCTGTGATTGATTTGAACGATCTTGGGCTTGTTGATGTCATCTTATTATGAACACTGCGGTAATAAAATTATTTTTAAGCATATCGATATATACAAATTTATTATTAGAAAAAAATACTCAATATAAATAATTTTATTATAAAAAAACCAAACAGGTGGATATTGTGATGTCGCAAAATTTGGTGGTACCTTGATCTCTGAGTCAAAACAGAATGAGAAATTAATTCATCGAATTATTAAGGGTTCGTATTTCAAAGTAATTTTACATTCTAATTTCAGAAATCATGATATCATCAAATTTTGCAATATTATATTTTATTTATGTTATGTTTCTGTGATTGTTAAACAAATCATATGCATAAAAAAAAACTTTCTGTAAATCATTTGTATACAAAAAATAACTAAAAATCTGTCAGTACTAAAATCATTAATATCTGGTTATTTTATTAAGATAATCAAACTTTGGCATCTTAAGTAAACTTACTCAACATCTAATTTTGCATATATTCTAAAAGTTTCAAGGACTTAAATTTCAAACTCACAGTTTAATACTACAATAATGATTTTTGGGTTTTTAAACTATTTTTTTAATTATTTCTTTACAATTAGTTTTACAACATATTTTATAATCTTAAGAAAACTTGTAGAGTTTATTTTTCTAATTAAAACATGGTCTAAACAAATCTTATAGACATAATATTAATGAAGATACCTTTAAAAATAATTTTAACTCTCTTATAAATTCTTTAAAAAATTCTTTTATCTTTATTCTAAGTTTTTTTTCTCTTATATAATTTTTATATAATATTAAATCATTATTAGAATTGTTTTCATATTAAACTAATTAATATTATTTAAAATAATATATAATTTTTTATTGATTCTTCTTCTTTTATTAATTTGATTTTTATACTATTATAAAATTTTTTAGAATATATAACTGAATTATTACATTAAGTTATATTTATTACATCAACTACACCTTATATTATATAGATTATACAAATTGTAGTAGTTGCAGTAGCTGCAATATTATATCACATCTTTGTCAAATAACCCTTGTTCTTATAAAATTCTATATATTAAAAATTTTAATAGTTAATAATAAAAAATTTTACTAAATAATTTTAACTTTTATCTTTAACTATAACTATAGTATTTTTTTCTTTTCTATCAAACAAGATGTCTACTTTAATTATTCAAGAATCAGATCATTTTAATCTAAACTATTTTCTATAATAAATATAGTAAACATTATAATACAATAATTTAAGAAATATAATCTATATAACTTAAAGTAATGTCATTTGTATTTAATTTATCTGAATACAATATTTCTAAATCTTTTCATTACTTTAAAACTTCTATTTAACCTATTATTATTCACTATTATTACTAAAAATTTCATATTTTCTTTATATTTAGTAATCTTTATATCTTATCTAGACAAATAACTTCTTTTTCTTCTTCTCAAAAATTCAAGTATATAAATCTAGATATTATATCTAAATAAATTAAACAATTTAAAAAAATTATTCTTCAATTGTCAATTATAAAAACAATTATTATCTTCTTACTATTATTTATTCTAAATTATTCTTCAATTTAACAATGAATTTTATCTAATTTGACAAAATTTTCCTAAATTCAAATATATTCATTTTATATATTTATATTATTTATCAAAATAAAAACATCTTATGTATCTTTTTAGAAAATAATATATATTCACTTTTTGATAAATCTATTCTTATTATTAAAGAATTTCTAGTATATCCTAAATATATTTACAAACTCAAACTCAAATCTATTAGTTATATCAAAGTACTTACTCTTATACAACATTAAATTGTAATTATAATCAAACTTATTATAATATTTAAAAAAAGAAAAAATTATAATTTTTAAAAAACTTTTAGAATTACTAAAATAAATACAACAAAAATAACAAAAACAATATAAACAACAAAACCTATATTAAAAATAATCTATTATTAAAATTTTTCTTATTTCTAAACTTACACTTCTTATTCCAATTACAAATGAAACAATTAATAATAAACAGTAATAATAATACCAAAAATCTAATAAATAATTTTATAGTCAAATAACAAAACCTAAACTTATTCTATTATTTGACTGATTAGCAAATTTCTCAGTTACTAATAAAATACAAAATCATATAAAATTAGAAACAGAGATATTACATTAACTTTTAATTTTTTTAAAGAGCATTTATATAATTTTTATTCTAATAAAGTTCTTAAAGAACTACAGAAACTAAATATATACTCAAAACTAATTTCTATTTATTGATTAGACAAATAGCTGATACTAGACAAAATTTCTTATTAATCTAATTCAAAAATACAACTCTGAAACAAATAAAGCTATAATAATCTTTTTCAATATTATAGAAAAAAGACAAAAAACTTATTCATACATTCATAACAGTCTGTTTTATTAAACTTAATTATTCTGAAATATTTATTTCTCATACTATAATTTTATTAATCAAAACTGAAAACTAATTACAATTTTGTCTTAATCTTACTTATTTATATCTATATCTTTTTAATACTTATTAAGCAATCAATTACACAAAATTTACTAAAAATATTAAACTTAGACCTAAAAAGTTTAAGATAATATCTGAGATTACTGATTTTAATAAATAATAAAAATATCTTTTTATCAAAATAAATAACTGATTCAATATTAAACTGAATTTTAATCTTTCAAAATCTTTTTTTCTTGACAAATATAATATACTATCACTCAAAAACTTATTTAATCATTTTATAAATAGTTTGAGAAAGTCTTTTCACTATATAGCTAACAATTTTCTAATATTATTAACAAAACTACAATATCTAACTATCTTAAATATAAATTTAGACAATACTTTATCTCATATTTGAAAAATTTTTTATTAACTAATATTTAATTTATAAAACCAATCTACAACCTATATACAACTCATCTATACTTATTAAAAATATATTTAAAACATTTTACAAAACTAATTCAAAAGAAGATAATAAAACATGAAATGAATTTTTTCTTGATACATTTATATTTTATATTAAAGATCAATATAAAGCTATATTTACAAAACCAATTCTTACTTTAATTCTTGATAAACTAGTAATAAAAATAGAAGAGTATACTTGTTCCTTTAATACTATTAAAAATAATTCATAATAATGAGACTTCTATTTCTATCAATACCTATCTATATATCACAATATTGTTGCTCAAAATTACAATAATAACAAAATAAATAAACAACAAGCCATTAAGTTTCTTATAACAATACTTATTAATATTGATTTTCTAGCTTGAGTTATTATATACTTTGATTACATATAAGCCAATTCTCCAAATTAATTTAAAATAACCAAATTCTATAAAGAAAAGGCCTTACCAGAGGCAGAAATAATTTTACATAACAAATTTAATATTAAATTTGAATAATGTTACTGCTATTAACAATCTACAAACATGCATCATAGCAAAACAAATTCAACTTAAAAACTGAGACATAATTTATTATATCAATTATTTAAAAAAATCTAAAAAGATAACTACTATTTTGTATAAAATCAAATCACATTTCACCAATTCATTTTATAATCAAGCTAATTCTCTTGCAAAACATGAAACAAAAAATTTATTCTCAAACTGGATATCTCAAAATTTAATATACCAAATTACTTCTCTTAGAATAATTATCTAAATCTCTTTAAAATCCATATTTTTATTAAAAACATTACAACTATTCATGAATTGGTAAATTGGTTAGCTCTAAAATTCTTCCAAAATATATTAAACATTAAATGGGATCTCAATTTCAAAATTATAAATTTACTTGAAAACAACTTACAAAAATACTTTTTTTGTACCAAAATTTTAATTGCCAATCTACCTACTATGCAAAACCTTAATATTTGCTATCTTTATCTATATACTACATCAAATTGTTCTCACTGTTCATATACTGAAGACTCTCTTCATTTATTCCTTTGTTCAAAAAATGAAACTAACATCCTTCAATTACTCAACAATCTAATATATAAAACTTTTTTATCTTACAAATTTCAAACATATTACCTACAACATTACTCAATATTCTTTTATAGTTCATATTTAACTCACTAACTCCCTATTATCAACATATTTTTCATGCTATTACAGACACTTATATTATTACTACATACAACAATATTAAAGAAATTGCAAATAAACAAACTAATTCCCTACTTCTAAATCTTTCTAATAATCTGCTTAATATATACTTTCATAAACTTTGATTTACATGTAACATATATCAACATCAATGGGAACAAGCTCAAAACATCATTTCTAAAACTAAATGAACAAAAATAATTTTACCAATCTCTTTAAATTTATCAACTAATATTACAACTGTCAATCAACCAATTAATATTTCTTCATATATTAAACAATGGTTTTTATAAGGTTTTTTACTAACAACATGCTTTCTTTAATATCA